ACCTCTTCTTCTTCCCTCTCCTCTGGGCATCTTTAACCTTTTTATGGCTCCGTTCCTCTTCTCGCAGGAGAGACGGGCAGCCGCCCGGGCGTACGCATCGTGCATGTGCGCACACAGGTCATCGCCATCGCCGCCGCCGCCGCCTACATCCTCATCGCTCGGCTCAGGAGGCCCCTCGCCCTCTCCCCCTGCCCTCACGCCGCGGACGCTGGAAGAGATGTCTGCCCTCTCCTCGGCCCTGTTGCCGCTGCTCTCTTGCGAGGGGGGCGACGCACGAGTATCGGGGTGGCGTGGGGGGGGCGGCGGAAGGGAGGGTGGTGGGTTTTTCCCCCGCGATGTGGAAGAGTTGCTCGAGGCGGTGCTGTGGAAGGTAACCCTAGGTTTCCGGAGGCCTTTCCTCTGGCGGCTTTGTCTTGGCCCGCGCAGGCGCAGAGGCTCTGTTGTTGTTCTCACGGGCGTAGTGGCAGGGAGGAAGCGACCTCCTTCGTGGCGATTTGGTCCCTTTTATGCCTTTTTGGATATGGCCAAATAGCCAGGTAGAGGTCGGGTTGTGAAGTCGGATTGTTCCGTGTTTTGTTTCCACTTGCCTCAACGAGGAGAGAGTGATGGTATGTTTGGTCCAACGGCGGATCCAAGCCAGTAACTATTTCTGTGGGACGTTTCCTGTGAACTCAACAGCAAATTTGTTGGTTCCGTTGTTGTACCCACCATGAGGCAGGCGTGCATGCTGCACAGCAGTAGTGCCGACGGCACCTTTTGTGACCCCCAGTTGCTCCGAAACCAGCGCGACCCTAAGCTTTATACGTGCACGTCTTCGCTTTGCTTCTCCTTTAACTCAAGGTATCCGGAGACCTACCGTCGACCGAGCTTTGGGAATCCCTCAAGGTGTTTCTACTCGACGAGGACACCTCCACCTCCTCCTCCTCCCCGCCTGAGACCCAGCTGAATGTCACTGCCCTGGTGGACCTGGTTCTGCACCGCCTCCGAAGCAATAGCTCCGCTTCCGGGCAGGTTTCCGCCGCCCCCGCCCCCGCCGCCGACGCTCCCGCCGCCAGTAACCCAGCCCTGCGCGCGATGGCCGTGGACTTCTTCGTGTCTCTGATCCATATGGAGGCCGTCGAGAGGAGCAAGTTCGCGATGGCGGCCGCCGAGGCGGCGGTGAAGGCGGCGGCGGTCGCCGAGAGGGAGGAGCAGGCCCGCAAGCAGGAGGCTCAAGATGAGCCGAGGAAGAAGGAGGATGCCACCAGCGGGGGCGCTTCTGCTTCCACCGCAAAAGCGGCACCGAGGGCTACCCCGCCGACCCCCGGGAGGAGCTCCGTCTGGCGCCTGCTGGACGCGTTCTCCGTCGCCTCGGAGGCCCACGGTGAAAAGGCCGAGCTGCTCTCGGTGCTCGGGGCGCCGGCCCTGGCGGTCGCCGTGCTGGAGGCGGAGGCCGTGGCGGGGGCGAAGAGCGCCGGGAAGATGGCGGCGGCGCACGGCTTCGGAGACGCTGCCGGCGGCGGCGGCGGCGGCAACGGCGGCAACGGCGGCAGCGGCGGTGGTCGTGTCGGCGAGGAGGCCCACGCGCTGGCGAGGATCCGGTTCCCGCTCGCCACCGCGGCGGTTGAAGCCTTCCGCCGCCTGTGCACGTCCCCTCCGCCTTCCACGACTACGTCACCGTCGTCGTCGACGACGTTATCCTCCTCGAGCGTGCTGCTGCTGGCTTGCGCGTCGTCGCTGGTGAGCTACTCCGTCGCCGCCTTCCGGGAGACGCCGTTCTACCCGGCGGACGGCGGCGTCAGCGACTCCGCCGCGCGGCGAGAAAAGGCTCTGGCGGCGCTGGCGGAGTTCGCGGCGGAGGGCGTTCTCTCCTCGCTGCCCGTGCTCCGCCTGCTGTCTTCCAGGGGAATCGGCGGCGGCGGGCCGGCGGCGGTGGCGGCGGGCGCGAGGCTGCTGCTGCCGCAGCTGCGCGCGCTGGCCGCCGTCCACGCGTGGCCGCGCCAAAGGGTAGCCTTGGCCGTCGCGAGGAGTCTCCGGAGAGTGCCTCCGACGTCAGCTCTTGCCGTGGAACTGGCGGTGCTGGTGTCTCACGTGGTGAGGGCGGGCGAGGTTGATGACAAGGGGGGTGGGGGGGAGGGGGCGGGAACGGGGGGCGAAAAGCTGGGTGACCTGGAGAAGGTGCTGTGGGAGCTGCTCTTTGGACGGCGGTTTTGCGACGATAATCCAAAGGCGAGAGAGAGAGNGGGTTGAGCGGATTTCGTCGGTTCGACCATCCTCTTCGTCGCCTCGCCTTTGGCCTACGACGGCAGTCATCCGTGGCAGATGTGAACGATATTTATTGGCAGGGACTACGCTTGCGAATCCGATGTCTCTCGCACTTTGTCTCCCTCGTCTCTCTCATTTGCCATGCGTTGAGCTATACCCTCATCAGATTTTTGACGCAACAATTAGCGACAACAGGTGATCATTCCTGTGTTCAGGGCAGACATCCCTGCGTATGTGACAGGAACGGAGATTTGAGACTCGACCACCCCCTCCCTCCTCCCTCCCCCCTTCCCTCTGTCCCTACGTCCCTCCATCTCTCCCTCCCTCCGTCGCCGGCCCGCTCACGGGACGAACCACAACGTCCCACACACGCAGGCCGCCGTGGGCATCGCCGTCGCGCTCATGCGACACCACAGAGGGTCGCTCAGCCGACAGTCCACCCTGTCCTCAGCGCTCGTGGGAGCCATGGGTGGCGGCGGCGGCAGCGGCTTGGCTAGTGACAACGACGCCGGTCCACCTTCATCTGCTGCTGCTTCTGGAGGGGAAGGTGACCCCGGGACCGCGGGCGTGGGATGCGGAGGGGCAGAAGCGGGGAAGAGGTGCCCGGCGGAGCCGGAGGGCACCGACCCGATCGTCCTCGACACGTGGTACCAGCTGGTGCTCTGCCGGGAGTGCATGCTTCACGGGTTTTTCGAGGCTGCAGGGGCCGGGCTGCGCCGGCTGCGGGAGGGGGGCCGACGGAAGGGAGGGGGGGCGGTGCTGCCGGCTTCTGACACGGTCTGGGCGTGGACGGAGGTGCTGGGAAAGGTTTCCGCGGCGGAGGCGTTCTTTGGGGGTTCTCCCGACCCGGTGAGTGCGCGCGTTTTGTGGTTTTCAGAGGCTTGTGTTCTTCTTTGTAGCAAGTGTGCCGAGTGGAATGCTGTGTGCTTGGAGGTGTCACGTACCGCGCTGGTGAGTTCGTCTACCGCTCCCTTCGTTTTCTTTTTAGTTTTTTTTCTGCGTCTCATTTCGGTCAAAACATATGCTTTTTGTTTTCTAGTCTTTTTCTGCTTTCCCGTAAGGTTTCCCATTTACTTTTTCTGCGGGTGCACCACCGCCACTCTTTCCCTTCCTCCCTCCCTCCCTCCCTCCCTCCCTCCCTCCCTCCCT